TGCGTCTGCAGCCGCAGCCGAGCCTGTCCGCGCCGCCGGGCTGAGCCACCCACCACCGCTCTCCTGGTTTCCTCCAAACCCACGGGTGCTGCCGGGTGCTGGAGGTGGGAGCTGGGTGGCCCCATGCCCCTCCTGCGCCATAGCCACCAGCTCGCTGCTGGTAGGGGAACCTGGTGCTCCAGGGATCAGGACCAGGACTGGGTGCTGTGGGAGCAATGGGCGATCTGCCACCACCCGGGGATGACGCCGTCCCACCCCACTGGAGCACCATTCGGGCTGTGTGAATCGGGACCAGCCCTGCAGCTGGGGTGTTAGGGGCGAAAGGCTCCCCAGGAAGGTGCCCAGCAAGAGAACTGGGATGCTTCTGCATTCATCCTTCTTTATCTTCTCTTCTGGGCAGATGCTGGAGACAGACGCTGAGAAGCCGGGGCAGATGCCCTCAGAGGATGGGAAGGCGACAGCAGGTGATGCTCCTCCAGCCGCAGAGACACCGACTCCGGCTGAGTCCCGGGAAGCTCTGGGAGCCACTCAGGGTCCTCTCCTGGCAGAAGAGCAGCCGGTGGCCACCAAGAAGGAAGAGGAGCAGCCCAGCTCCCTGCCAGCCTTCGTCATCCCTGAGCTCCGGCTCGACAGCACCTTCAGCCAGAGTGCAGCGGGCACGGTGGGTGGTACCACGGACGGCGAGGACGAGGAGGAGGAGGAGGACGAGGAAGATGAGGACGAGGAAGATGAGGAGGAAGACAGTGACGAACACTACTTGGAGAGGAACGAGGCGAAGCGCAGCAGCATGATCGAGACGTCGGGCTGTCAGCCCGTCTACACGCTGAGCGTGCAGAGCTCGCTGCGGCGCCGGACCCACAGCGAGGGGAGCTTGCTGCAGGAGGCCAAGAGCCACTGCTTCACCTCCGACACCACGCTCAACTGCTCGGACAGCCAGGGCACCAAGGGACACTGGGCCCTGCCCTCCCCCAGGACCCTCAAAAAAGAGCTCACTAAAAACGGCGGCTCCATCCACCAGCTCACCCTGCTGTTTTCGGGTCACAGGAAGGTACGGGAGCCGGTGCTGGCTCCGCGGGGTGGCCGGCTGCTGGTTGGCCATGGGGATGGGGGAGCTCCTGGGGTGGAGGTGTCCTGGCACGTGGCCTGTCTCTCAATGGCCATGGCAAAGGTGGCATCTGAGGGGCCAGGAAGGTCCCTGCTCCTGGCAGGCAGCGTTAGGAGATGCGTAGCACCCAGGGGATGTCACCCAGAGCCTGTGTGCTGGTGCCATGTGTGGGCATCTCTCACCAGTGCATCCAGATCCTACAGGATCCCATGTCTCGGCTCTCTGCTGAGACCGGTGGAGGGAGAGCTGCACCTGGGTGTCTGCACTTGCAAAGAGCGGGACAGGGAAAAACCAGGCTCCAGAGAGCCTCGAGGAGATGCGTAGCACCCAGGGGATGTCACCCAGAGCCTGTGTGCTGGTGCCATGTGTGGGCATCTCTCACCAGTGCATCCAGATCCTACAGGATCCCATGTCTCGGCTCTCTGCTGAGACCGGTGGAGGGAGAGCTGCACCTGGGTGTCTGCACTTGCAAAGAGCGGGACAGGGAAAAACCAGGCTCCAGAGAGCCTCGGGTGACAAAGAGTCCCCGGTGTGCTCAGGGATGCCAGGAGCAGGGTGGCTTTCTGCCCCAGCCATCCTCTTGTCGGGCTGTAGGTGGAGGGCTTGTCTCAGAAGAACGTGGAGGGCAGCAGCGATTTCTGACCCTGCCCTGCAGAAAGGAGGAGCGGCGGAGGGCTGTGCAGCAGGAGCTCAGCACAGGGCTGGATCGTGCTCACGGGGCCGGCTGTCAGGGTGCTCCCCATGCCTCCCTGGAGCAGAGCTTGCCTTGACTCTGCTTTTGCATAACAAATATTTACAGGAAACAATGTGCCACTGTAGAGTTTGTGTGTGAGAAGCGCTGCGGGCCCCGTTCTCCCCGGGTGAAGCCTGGCTGGGTGCTGAGGGCAGCTGCCTGCCTTCCTGCGGCGCTGGCCCGGCACCCTGCTCTGCCCAGCCGGACTCCTGCCAGCTTGGTCTCTGTGGGTGCTGCTCTGCTCGGGGCTGCATTGCTTGGCTCAGGGTCATGTTGTGCTGCTCAGGACCATGTTACGTGGCTCAGGACCATGTCGTGCTGCTTGGGACCACCTTGCAGAGTGCAGGACCACATTGCATGCTGGCTCCTTGGCTCGGAGCCCTGCATGCCACCAAGCAGGTCAACGTGATGGGGTTAAATTGGTGATGGGGTTAACCCTCTCCCTGCCAGGCTCACACTGCTTCAAAAGCTGCCTCTGATGCTGTCTCCTGGAGCACTTTTTTGGGCTCAGAGTCCCCAGCCAGCTGGTGAGAACCCTTGCAAGTCTGACAGGCCGGTTAGCTGGGGCTGCTGTGTGAAAGGGTAGCCAAAACTCTCTTGGAGGCTGCTGCCAGCAACTGTGGGCTGCGCGTTCAGACCCCCTCCCAGGTCCTATCCAGAGAAGACGTCTTTGTGGCAGGGACACCCGTGCTGCCCGGCGCAGATGCGAGAGAGGTGGTGGCAGCATCAGTGGCCGGTGAGAGTGTCCCGTTAGGGCTGTCAGTGACGAAGCTCCTGCAAAGAGG